TCCCTGTGTCTCTCCCTCCCTCCCCCTGCCCCCAATTTACCTTACAGAAGGCAAGGGGGCCGGCCGTGTTCCAGACTGGAGCCACCGGGCCGGGTGGCAGCTTCGCCGGTCCGGCGGCACTCCAGTCACTGCTGTTGCTGATGGAGGAGGAGCCTGTCTACCATTCTCCCTTGCGGTTCCCCACGAGGGAGCATGGTAGACAGGCTCCTCCTGCATCAGCCATCAGCAGCCAGTGACTGGAGTGCCGCCGGACCGGCGAAGCTGCCACCCGGCCCGGCGGCTCCAGTCTGGAACATGGCCGGCCCCCTCTCAGTGTGCCACCGGACCGGCCACCCGGTGGCACATATGTGGCCTTGTGCCGCGGCCCACCGGGAAATTTCCCGGTATCCCGGTGGGCCAGTCCGGCCCTGCCACAAGGAAAGGAAGCAAGATGGCGGTCTGCTGTAGCCGGAAATCCAGGTATGCAAATCGCCTGACCAACAATGGTAATGAGGAGGGGTCTGGCTATCCTTAAGTAGGGAAATCATGCCCCTCCCAAAACTACAGGCCCAGCCTTCCATATATATACATATATATATAATTTCTTTTTATTAATATATTTTTTTATTGTGCATGTAATATAAGTACAAACTTTGTCCATGCGTTAGACTGTCCATGTCAGTGCAAATATTCAATAGTACAGTGTACATCAATACATGTTGCATAAAGCAAACTAGCAATTTTTTTTCCTTGTTCTCTTGTTCAAAGTAGTTTAACAGTGGTAAAATTTCAGCTTAAGTATTTTCGTGTGCGGTTAAGGTGTAATGCTATGCTTATATTATCATTTTTACAGATATCACAGACTAGTCTTCCTAGATAGCCGAGGTTGAAGGGAGCCAGCTACATTGCGGGGGGGGGGGGAGGGTTAAAATAAAGTCCAGCAAGGGTTGCTAGCTGCAGAGGTATCTGGAGTATTTGTGGGACGTGGATGAGTGTATTTCATACATAGTTCGTATGGATTCCACTCTAGCTATCCATTCTCATGCTTTTTCCAATGTGTAGGTATCATTAGGTTAGCTGCCGTGAGGAGGTGGTAAAGGAGTCTACGGTTTGTCTTGGGGATTGAAGGGGGAAATATGAAGAAAAGGGCGATGGTGGGCAAGGTTGGTAGGTGAAGACCTGTAATCGTGTGTATCAACGTTATACTTTTTGCCCAATAGTACTGCATGCTGGGGCATGACCACCAGATGTTACCTGTATTGCCTTCTCTGTGTCCACATCTCCAGCAAGTGGTCAGAGAGTCAGGGAAAAGGTGATGAAGGCGGACCGGTGTGTAGTGCCATCTGGCTATCCTCTTATAATTGCTTTCATGTACTGATGAGCTTATGGATGTGTGGAAAATGTTGTAATAAAGGTCGTTGATATTGGTGTCTGAGAACATGATGTTCAATTCCGTGGCCCATTGGTCAAGATAGTGTGGGCGTGATGAGTGTGTATCATTTAGCAGAAGCTAGTAGAATTTGGAGATGTGTTTAGTCTTGGTGGTGTGGTTGACACAGACAGTTTCAAACTTGGTGTGTTCCCTGATACTTTGAGGTTCTTGGATGTATGATGTCAAGAAGTGTTGGAGTTGTGTATAGGTAAATTTTTGCAGTGACGTGGGTGTGGGGGTAGACAATAGCTCAGTAAGGGGTTTTATGAGCTGCTCATCAAGTATCACTTTTTAGATTAATCTGTTTTATATTATTCTGTATACAACTCAATGTTAAGTGGATATTCCCCCTTTTTACCCACAATCTAATAATTATTGCAGTTAGACTTATGCATATTAATGAGGTTTTTGGACATATCCAATAAACTGTTTACATTCCTACTTGTTTTACATTACTGATGCCCACTTTATGGGTTTAAATAGAGAATGTGGAGTGTTGATGAATCTGAGGAAGCCAAATCATCGGCGAAATGCGTCATCGCACCTTCATGTTTTGCACGCTGGTCGGAAGCCATACTTCCCGGAACGAGCATTAGCACTCGGTTTTCTGATTCTCATAGAACCCTGCAACTAACCCAATTTTCCAGCAAAATCATATGAGGGGAAGCTGTTTGTAGCAGATGTCTACCTGCAGCCTGTGTTTTTTTTAAAGTCAGGGCCGGATTAACATAGCGGCTGATGGAGCTGCAGCTCCAGGCCCAGGCCCATTGATATTTCTACACACTACTCTTAGGGTTGCCACCTGGGTGGTTTTTATTTGAGACTGCCAGCTGTGCCGATATTGCAGTATTACCGGCAATACAAATGCCGCTATTTTTCTTAGTACAAACAGAGATTACTTTGCAATACCAGCACAGGGAAGTAGGAGTAGCTGTGTGTGTGGAGAGAGGCAGGGATAGGATATAAGTTAGGGATAAGTTACAGCATATACCTGCATCTCTCTGCTCACTGATCTGCGGGGGAGCATCTACACAGCACAGAGAGTCCAGACAGCAGCTCCCAGCCCGCAGAGAAAGCCTACAGCTCTGGAAATGAGGGATGGGGTAAAGGATGCAGAGAGACATGGGGAAACTGACACAATAGGGGCACTGTGAGACATGGGGACACAGGGAGACCTCTGGGGATGCTGAGACACTTGAGAACACTTGGAGACACAGGGACACAGACACACATGGGGACACTGAGACATGGAAAAACTTGGGGTCAATGTGACTTGGGGTCACTGAGACACTAGGGGACACTGAGACCAGACACACATTGGAAAACTCGGGGTCACTGAGACACTAGGGGACGAAGGGAGACATGGGGATACAGACACTTGGGGACACTGAGACATGGGAAGCAGACACACATGGGGACACTGAGACACTTGGAGACATAGGGACACTGAGACACTAGGGACACAATGTCCCCAAGTGTCTCAGTGTCCCCATGTCTCCCTGCCAGTGTCCCTTGTGTCTAAGTGTCCCCATGTCTCCCAGTGTCCCCAAGTGTCTCAGTGACCCCATGTCTCTCAGTGTCCCCATATCTCTCAGTGTCCACTAGTGACAGTGCCCCACTGGGAGACATAGGGCACTGACACACTGTGATACATCGGGACACTGTGATACATAGTCTCAGTGTCCCCCAGTGTCCCCAAGTGTCTCTGTGTCCCCAAGTGTCTCAGTGTCCCCATGTCTCACAGTGTCCCCTAGTAACATGGGGAAATTGCAAATATTCAATAGTACAGTGTACATCAATACATGTTGGGACACTGGGAGATATGGGGACACTGGGTAACAGAGAGACACTGGAAGCAATACATCTATACAGCAGAATCAAACTGTAAGTAGTTTTTAGGTACTTTCACAGAATTTTCTCTTACTCCTTGTGATTTACATAATGTGATGTCACACATACATAATTAGTTATGCAAATTAGTAAGGCCTCTATTTTTTTCCAAGAAAGGTGGAAAACCTAACTACTCTTCACATACTCTTGCTTAAGAATGGAAACTTAAGAGGGATATATGGAAACAAAACTTGTGTGGACTAGCTGAAATTAAATAAGTTAAGGTAATGCTGACTTTGGTCTCTCTAACACTGTAGCATATTCTCTTTCTTCTACACTCACTACATCCAAATTTTCTCATTCTCAGACTGTATACCAGGAGCTTCTGGCTGCTAGTAAGAAGTTAAGGAGACATGTGAGTGCTAGGGGACAGTCCTTAGAAAGCATGGAGCAAGCGCATCATTAGATGCATTTATGCCAAGCTCAGGATGCTGTTGGCCAGCATGCCTGACATGCATTCATGCCATGCTATCCTTCCAATTCTTTGGGCAGACACATCCTTTTTGGGCATGTTCGTCCCTTTCGGGAGTTCTGGTTATATGACGTGCGTCAATGGCCCACCCTTTTAAACCGCCCACTGACATCCTGCTTCACTGGACACTGCTGTTAGGGGGTATGGGTTTACTTGAAAGATGAAACCATGAATTAGAGAGAGATTATCATATTTTAAGAGAATCTGAGTTTTCTTATAGCTGCATCCTATGAGTTTCCCTCTGGCAACATCTCCACCAGAAACATCTCCCTCACTCCTTTTTTATACTCATTGTTACTGTATTACCCTATGTTTTTTTCTATTTATTTTTTACATGAGGTACTCCTGGTGTTATTTACTCCTTGCAGACAATAGTATGTAAAGAGGGTTCTAATGTAAGTTATAATATTTGCACAGACTATATTTTTCTCACAATATTTATACACTTGATTGTCTTTTACTGCACAGTGCACTTTTACACAGTTTTTCTTGTGGCTCACTTTATGTTCACATTTATACGAATATATGTATATACTTTAAATAATGGCTGTGCCTAATGTGATTGGGCTTTATGGCTCTTTCCCTGCAGTCCATTGAGGGACTGTTCTAGTACAGATGCTGCATATATGCTGTTATATTCCCACCACTCTCCGCAAAATTCAGCTGATTAGCCCCTGCGATAGTGCCAGGAGAGAACAACTCAGACCTGTCCAATCCCAGCTTCAGCAATGGTACATTTTTAAATAAATAGGTAGGGCAATGATATATGTAAGATATATTGAAAACATTATATATCATTTAATTATCATCAATCTATGAATGCTTTTAATATATTTTCTTTCTTATAATAAAAGTGTTATTGTCCTTCAGACACATTTGCCATGTCTGGATCTCCTGTCGGTGTGCATTAACCCCTTAAGGACACATGACATGTGTGACATGTCATGATTCCCTTTTATTCCAGAAGTTTGGTCCTTAAAGGGGTTAAATTTGTAGAACAATTGTCCACCCAGTGCCCATTATCTCATATTGCTGCACTACGCTCTTTGTGGTGCTAAAATATTATGTATTACTAAACGTTCTTCCAAGTCCTCTACGTCTGCAGACATCTGTCATAAAATAACATATGCTAAAGTCAAATCGCAACACATGAATCATATGGAACTGAGCGCGGAGAGAAAGGTTTTAGAAGGTTCGATGCATTCACATTAAAACAAATCTTGAGAAGAAAGACTTTATATTACAAAAGGGAAATTGAGAGATTTGTATTCAAGAGTTCTAGTGCTCCATAAGGAGGTCACTTTGGAGTACCTTAAATGCTAAAAGGATGAATTACCATAAATGTTTATAGTGTCATGCACTTCTATAAACACATTAACAGCAACACACATCTGAACTCTTTGAACTTGAATTCAAAAGGGAAGAACAATGATAGATCACATTGCCATTCCAAACAACCATATTTAGCTTGTGTTTTTGTTATAGACAACACCCCTTTTAAACCACACACAAAGCCATACGCTGCTGCTGCTTCCTCGTTTCACAAACCATTTTCTCCAACTATTTAAATAAGTGATGTAACTAATGTTTGTGTAAAGCTCATCACTTTAAATCTCCCATTTAACAAAGAGCTACTGAAAAAAACTACTGAAAGCCTGAAGATCTTAGTACGGTGCAATGTGGAAATTTAAAGTCACATCACTCATCATCTATTTATCTGCTGGTACATATAACAGTATGAATATCATAGACATGTAAGGAGATATAAACATATTAATGCTCTGTTTTCTCTCATTAGATCCAGTCTTTGGGGATAAAGTTGCACAGCCTGCTTCAGATGCTGGAAAAGAAAAAGCACAAAAGACACTCAGTTGTAGCTATGCATCATCCTACTATTGTTGTTATTGGTACAGAAAATATCCTTCCTCTGCTTTGCAATATCTTGTTTATTCCTGTTCAAGCTTTACTAATGAGATAAATGGGAGATTCACTGCATATTACAGTTCCTCCAGTAGCACATTAACTATCTCCAGTCTAGAATTGAACGATGCAGCTGTTTATTACTGTGCAGTCCGCACTCTAGTAACATCCCCTGCACAGCCCTACAGAATCTTTTCCGGTACATAAGGCAGTGACATGAGATTCACAGCAACCCGGATTGTAATTTATTTTACTTCTCAGTATTCAGACAGGCTTGAGTTTTAAAAAAGGACTAGAAAAAAAACATAATGTGTGTGGACCACTTAAAAGAATAACTTATTAATTTCAGGCAAAGTTCATTGTAAACTTCCATTCAATTATATTTTTATATTATTTATAAAATGTTTTACAATGATAAATACTATGCCATTTTTTCCATTGTCAAGTATGATATGAATTTACCTTGTACATATTAAGCTGCTACAATATATCCCCTTAAGGACGGATGCAATTGTGCAAGTTCTGGTCAAAACAAAACCTGTTAAATGCGCTGAATTTCTGTTCAACCATAATTTACCTATTTCACATTAAGTGCATCCATTTCTCATTTCACATAAAATATTTAAGAATGAAACATAACTTGAACATGAATAAAATCTAAAAAAAGTTTGAGAAATTAATATACAGTTGCAAGAAAAAGTATGTGATCCCTTTGGAATGATATGGATTTCTGCACAAATTGGTCATAAAATGTGATCTGATCATCATCTAAGTCACAACAATAGACAATCACAGTCTTTATAACTAATAAACTAATAACACACAAAGAATGAAATGTTGCCATGTTTTTATAAACTTGGGAATTCATTTTTCCTTCGATGATAGCAATCCGTCCAGGCCCTGACGCAGCAAAGCAGCCCCAAACCATGATGCCCCACCACCATACTTCACAGTTGGGATGAGGTTTTGATGTTGGTGTGCTGTGCCTTTTTTGCCACACACATTGTTGTGTGTTTCTTCCAAACAACTCAACTTTGGTTTCATCTGTCCACGGAATATTTTGCCAGTACTGCTGTGGAACATCCAGGTGCTCTTGTGCAAACTGTAAACGTGCAGCAATGTTTTGTTTGGACAGCAGTGGCTTCCTCTGTGGTATCCTCCCATGAAATCCATTCTTGTTTAGTGTTTTATGTATTGTAGATTTGCTAACAGGGATGTTAGAATTTGCCAGTGACTTTTGTAAGTCTTCTTCACCTCATTGAGAAGTCTGCGCTGTGCTCTTGCAGTCATCTTTACAGGACGGCCACTCCTAGGGAGAGTAACAGCAGTGCTGAACTTTCTCCATTTATAGACAATTTGTCTTACCGTGGACTGATGAACAGCAAGGCTTTTGGAGATACTTTAATAACCCTTTCCAGCTTTATGCAAGTCAACAATTCTTAATCGTAGGTCTTCTGAGAGCTCTTTTGTGCGAGGAATCATTCACATCAGGCAATGCTTCTTGTGAAAAGCAAACCCAGAACTGGTGTGTGTTTTTATAGGGCAGGGCAGCTGTAACCAACACCTCCAATCTCATCTCATTGATTGGACTCCAGTTGGCTGACATCTCACTCCAATTAGCTCTTGGAGATGTCATTAGTCTAGGGGTTCACATACTTTTTCCACCTGCACTGTGAATGTTTACATGGTGTGTTCAATAAAAACATGGCAACATTTCATTCTTTGTGTGTTATTAGTTTAAGCAGACTGTGATTGTCTATTGTTGTGACTTAGATGATGATCAGATCACATTTTATGACCAATTTGTGCAGAAATCCATATCATTCCAAAGGGTTCAAATACTTTTTCTTGCAACTGTATATATTATTTTATAATATGCATTGTATTGAGCAGACAATTACATAATTCTCCTAACGCTCCTCCTGCTTCTGCCATTTAGGTACCACAATACTATTATATACACCATTATCAATTTTGGATGAATGGCAAGAGGAAAGCTCAACCTCTGAGGATGAAGATAGATGACAAGGTTCGGATGTGGAGGATTCTCTCTATGTACACAAATCATTTATGGAAGCCTTCCATGATTTATCTTCCCCTCAACCACCTAATTCAGGTGCAGACGATGACATCTTTTTGGATTCGATGGGGGGGGAACCTCTCTTCAACCCACATTCCATTCGACACCCCAGGTCATCCAAATGGTGGCTCCTGATCATTTGGCCCAGTGTTTAAATTACTGGATTCACAGATCCCTAGACTGGAAAGTACATAAAAGATTATGGGCAGAATGCAGCAGATCATCACTACCTGATAAGGTCTCAATGACCCCAGAGTTCGACATCATGATCTACACATACTTTGCAAGATTGGACGAGACCCTCCCAAGGGTATTGAACGCAGCCTGAGACTCACTCAAGTCAAGCTATTCAAAGATCCTGCTTCTTTATGCAAAGCTGTTCTCTTGATCTGTCTTTTTTTAGAGACTGTTATTTACGTTCTATATGCCAACTAGGCAACGCTAATGTGTCAATGTGCATTGACCAAAGAAAGGTGGTGTTCCTTCATATAGATGCCAAGCTTTCAGACCTTGAGTTGAAGGGCCTTGGCCAAGGGCCTATTCTTTAGAGAACCATTATTAAAGAGATTCACAAACATGTGAACCTATATACCACACTCAATAAAACCCAATCTTCAATGAGACGAGTGTTTCACCAGATCCCATCTCGGGTTTTTGGCAGGGCTGAATGACATTGGAGTCATTTCTCCAGCCATTTTGGCCTACTCTATTCTCTCCCTATACAGGCAACATTCCCAACAAACTCAGTCTTGGCGGTGGACCACCAGGCACGTGTAGATGCCAAAATCCAGACCCTGTTCGACAAAGGAGCGATTCAGTTCTCACTAGACACTGGGGGTTTCTACAGCTCCATCTTTCTTGTTCTAAAGAAGTCGGACGAGTTCTGCACAGTCTTAAACCTCCAGAATCTGTATGCTTTTGTTTCCTTTACCAACGTTTGCTGTGTTTCCTGTGGACCAGCCAACCCTGCCAGTTCAACCTGTCTACCCTTTGGCCTAAGTTCGGCCCCTTGGTGTTTCACCAAGCTGCTAAAATCAGTGACGGCTCATCTTAGTTTACAAAGGTTTCCATTGTCTTATATATCCAGACGACTTATTACTCTTCTATGCTGATGCCTCCGGACTGAAATCTCAACCTCAATTTACAATCTCCTTGTTCAAATTTCTGGGCTTCGCAGTCGACCCTTACCCCGTCCCACATGCTGAAGTTCTTGGGATTCAAGATAGATGCGCCCTTATGAGTGCTTCTTCTAGAACAATCAAAAGATTTCCGCAATTCACCTATAGATCCAGAGAAGTCTGCGGTGCGACCAGATTCCCCTCTGCACCCTTGCCTGCGTGGTAGATCTACTCTCAGATGATACCACTCAAGGGGGAACGGAAAGGCGATATTCGGTCCTGTCCCAAACTTTGTTGTGGAATCAGACGCGAGTCTTGGGGTTGGAGAGCTACTTGCCCAACCACATCAACTAGTGGTCCTTTGACGATTGGAGAAGCTGATTACCATATCAATTGACAAAAACTGGTCGCAGGTTCTTTTGCAATCCCAAGTCATGCCAATAATGCATTTTGTTGAGTATGGACAACATACTGACAATACAGTACATCGACCACCTTAACGGAGCCAGGTCACATCTTGCCAGGTACAGCGAATCTAACAGCGGATTGGTTTTCCTGGAGTTGAAGGAAAACCAATGACAGGTGTCTCCATCGATCGATCTTCCTTCACATCTTGCAGTTGAGGGGCTCATTCTTGATAAATCTATTTGCCTCTAGGATTAATTACCACACTAACAAGTACTTTAGCTGGCTCCCAGATCACGAGAGCACAGCGATGGATGATTTCCCCTAGGACTGCTCGATGCAGGGAATCTTTGCATTTTCTCCATTCGCTATGATTTCCAGAATTCTCCTTCAAGTTCGTTGCAAACAAGTCACTCCGGTATTGTTGATACTGCTTCTGGTCCTATTTTATCGAGACTCATTTCTCCTCCCATCGATACCAGACCCCCTCTCCGATTCGAGGGGCAATCTTCATCAGATGGTGACAAAAGACCATCTGCATTTGGTAGCCTGGACTCTTACCGGGGATCCTGGAATTTGCCTATCGCAGACAGCTAGAGTCCTTCTCTGGGACTCCTGGGCCCAGCAACTAGGAGTTATCTTTCTGCCTTGAATGCCTGGTGTAGTTGGTGCCTGGAGTGGGATACTGATCCCTTTATTGCCCCTGTTCCCTTAGTCTTGAAATCGTATCTTTTCTTTAATGTGATCCGTTCGGCTATATCACCGGCACACATCCCAGTTCAGGATTCACCTGTTTGGCAGGACCCTTTGATCTGTAGACTTTTAAGAGTCATCAAAGCTCGTGTCCTCTGGCACCCAAATATTCACATCTTTAGGGAGGTTGTTCTTGTCCTGAGATTCCTTCAAGAGTGGTTAGATTATAAAGATCTTTCCCTTCGTCAACTTCAGTGAAATTCACTCTTCTCTTGTGTCTTGTCACTTTCCGTCGAGTCTTAGATGTTCGGGCACTCAATGTAGACACTTTTACCTTTGATCTGGAGGGGGTTACTTTTTCCGTGTCTAGACTTACTAAATCGGATTCTTCTATGATTTATTTATCACAATTTTAGAGATTCTACTAAACTTTGTATAGCTTCAGCACTATCCCGCTACACAGTAGTCACCAACCCTCTCATTCTGGTCAATTATTAGTCTCCTATGTTCGACCTCATCTACTACTTTGGCTCCGTGTTGAGGGTCAAGCAGTTGTCTGGTTTATTGAGGGCTACCTGCCCAGTATTTATGCTGGTCTCCCACCTGGTGGACACTCCCCTAGGGGACCAGATGGGAGACTGTAACACAACCAGACATGTATCACATTCAGACACATAGAAGTAAAACATTCCCACAATGCATCCTAATTCCCTCCCCTCTATCCTGGAGATAATTGGGAAGTAATCCAATTATCTCCCAGGACAGAGGCAAAACTCCATTACACACGTGTATATAACACTAAAATACAATAAAATACATAATGCTACCTTTATCACATAAAATATATACATGTAACCCATCCCCAGATAGTTGGGATCTGAGCGCACAATTGTACCGAATAGCACTCAGATCATATACACACAGTTCAATTGCCATGGAGCCAAAGTCTTTAATTACACGAATAGGCTCCATGGCAGTGCTATCTGGGTTAAAGCATTCACATAAAACAAAGTCCCGAATGATCAGGTGTTCGGTTAAATAGCCACGAATAGAAGCAGGGAAGGCTGGAGGCTCAGTGGTGTCTGCACGTAAAAGTGTCCGCTTTTAGTGCACGAATTCCGGGCTGAGCACCGCTGGCCGTCTGGGGAGTTCCATAACACCGCTACCTAGCGGCCGCTAAGTGTAACCGCGGCCACCCAGTAATAGTCAATTAAGCTGCTGTTAACCACAGCTACTGGGTGGTCAATTGACTGCACACGCCAGCTTCTGGACGGCCAATTAACAGCGCCTGCCGGCTCCCCGCGGCTCTGGGGAGGCTAATAGAAGGCGGTTTGTGCGGTAGACTAAATCTACCGAATGGCTGTGCAGAAAGGCATCAATAAACCTTTCTGCACAGTAAAATTAACTGTTTAACTGCCGGTCCATAACCCAAAGGCAGCAGGCAGGCAACGAGGCTCCTCCAATGCAATGTGGCGAGATTGGTAAAGAAAGTTAAGCAAATTATTCGTCTCCTGTCCTTAAAAAATAAGATTATATGTACACTAAAGCTAGCATAATCAACAATTATCTTTAATCATGGGATTAGCTCTTTCAGTCAGATTGATGCCCAGATAATTTAGAGATGTGTTACATGAGTCAAATGTAAAGGGTTTATGTAACTTTTGTACCTTAGTAGTTGGTAGACCAGTGGGCAAGGCCTGCGTTGTTTTTTCATTATTTTTGTAATATGAAATGGGAATTGACCATTCTAATTGAGTAGTGAATAGTATGACATCATCTGCAAATAGTGTAGTCTTTTGTTTTCCAATAGGAGTAGCCGGGCCAGAGATGCTTGACTAAGATTTGATGTGTCTCACTAAAGGTTCCAAGCATAAAATAAAAATGATTGGGGAAAGAGGGCAGCCCTAACAGGTGCTATTCATTATGTGAAAGGATTTAGACAACAAACCAGAGTTAAAAAGTCTAGCCGAGGAGCAAATGTACAGAGCCATGACACTCTTTATAAAAGAAGGTGAAAAGGTTTTTAGTATTTCCCCCCTTTGTTTTGATACTTGCTTAGACAGTTTGAATTTATTCTGAGCATCCATGACTAGTAGCTCCTGAGTTAAAAGTGCCCTGGTTCCACAACTGGATTTTTTTCATTGGAGTACTGAGTTGAAAAAATATACACTATGACCTCTTTTGAAGCTAGCCATTGTGTGATGATAGATTAATTTTCTGTTGGGTTTTCTTGCAAGTAGTTTAGTTATGTTGGGCAATAAGTTGGTTCTATCCAACAATGCTGCATTTAGTCTCAATTTACCTCTGCCTCAAGCTGGATAAAGGGACCGGAATGAAACTGTGACCGGGGTTTGGTAAGACCAGGAACCTGTGACCTATGGAGACATCAACTAAATTGGGTAAAGTTGCTTTAGCTAAGACACACATGTCTATACAGGGAAATAATAAATATACTCTTTTTCATCAGGATACCTGTTATGCTGTGAGTCACATAGATCCTGCACATTAAAAAGCTAGATAGGACTTGGCTGTTTGTAATGGATGCAGGAATGGGGTATCGTTGTCAGCGTCCAATATGCAGTTGAAATACCCTCATATTATAATATGACCATATATAAACCACCATGATAAGTGAGAATCAGTTTAGAGGATAATCACTAGAAAAAGGGAGATCCCAAAGCCTCCCTTCCCCCCATAAAAAAGGGAAAACAGAGGGTTGAGAGCACAGTGAAATATAAAATAAAGGAAACAACCCGGACTATATCAGAAGCTAAGATAAAATTATGTAGAAAACAACAAGCTCATCACACAGTGACTATAAAAGCTTGTCTGAGGGAAGAGAGAAGGGAGGAGAGAAATTAGTAATAATGATCGCTACACTATCTTAACACCTCATTAGAGACAATAACTACACATTTTTAAAGATTAAAGGACCACTATAGTGCCAGGAAAACATATTCGTTTTCCTGGCACTATAGAGCCCTGAGGGTGTCCCCACCCTCAGGGACCCCATCCCGCCGGGCTCTGGGGAGAGGAAGGGGTTAAACTTACCTCTTTCTCCAGTGCCGGACGGGGAGCTCTCCTCCTCCTCTCCTCCCTCTTCTCCTCCTCTTCGGCTGAATTCGCATGCACGACAAGAGCCGTGCGCACATTCAGCAAGTCCATAGGAAAGCATTCATAATGCTTTCCTATGGACGCTGGCGTCTTCTCACTGTGAAAATCACAGTGAGAAGCACGCAAGCGCCTCTAGCGGCTGTCAAGAGAAAACTGCTATGTTTATTAAAAAAAAGGGTTAACCCAAGCTGGACCTGGCACCCAGACCACTTCATTAAACTGAAGTGTACTGGGTGCCTATAGTGGTCCTTTAACCCCTTAATGACATGTGTGACATGTCATGATTCCCTTTTATTCCAGAAGTTTGGTCCTTAAGGGGTTAAAGACAATGGGTGCTACTTATACTGTAGTCAGGATGTCCATCTCAGAATGTCTTCCTATATGCATATTTTTGTAAACCAGCATACAACTGTTTATATGATTTTGAATATCTCTGACTCTGGAGAAACACAGTACTACTTGTTTACCTTCTCTTTTCTTTCTGCTGTCTTGCCTCAATCTTCTTACTACCTTATTATTCCAAGATTCATTAAGTAATTATTTTCTTCTCAATACTGTGCACACACTTTCACTTGCCTGAGTACTGACTAGTAAGTCCTCTCCCAGTTGTCCACCCAATGTATTTTTCATGTGTGTGTTGCAAGCACTGAGATAATACAATAATATACAAAAAAAGTAAATCTCCCTAGTCATCAACTAATGCCAGTCACTATCTACACAGAAGAATTACTAAGTCTGATATGTTCATAATGTTACAGTACTCAAGAACAATGACCAAACACTTGTGGCAAACTGAATTTGTGTGTACATTATTTAAACACACATTTTATATTAAACATATACAAGTACAGTTACTAGTTGCTGGCATATGTGAAAAATAAAATATGATATTTACTGTCATATATTGTGGGCATGCTGCTGATGTCTGGTGTGCAAGCCTGCTTGACTGTCATTTAGCTGTGCAGGTCAGACTCACTGAATGTATCAGAAGTGCTCTCATACAGGATGAATGCCATCAGATAATTTCACACAGTGAAGTGAGCAATTCTGATCAATGCACTCTCACTGCACTTATTGGGAACGTTTTACTGATTATGGAATAGCAGGTGAAAGTCAGATCCAGGTAATCAGTTACTTCATATTTAATCAGCTTACAGTAGTCCCTTAAATTAAACATCTTTTAAATGGTATTTCCAAAGATGGGATTCTTTGTTTTAGAGTTTAGAAATATTCTGGAATATAGTAATTGGCTTCATGAACTACTTAAATGTTTTCCGGAAAATTAATGCGTAATTTACAACAAGAAGTGGTTTTCTTTACACAAGCTAAGCACAATACACACCAACAAATCTGAGCTTCTACAGTGCCTAAGAAGGATATAAAAGTGTTTCTGAAATTGAGGGATTTTCTGTCATAGAGTGTCTCGAGTTATAAGAGTAAGTGTTTTTCTGTTACCCCTTTAGTCAACTCTACTTTTACATAAATCATGCACTACCCCTTTAATAACCACATGGAAAACAACATAATGCTGCTTCTTCCCTCCACAAACCGTTTTCTCCTCCTATTAAAGTAGTGTAAATAATGTAACTGTACAGCACAGTCACTATTATTCACTGCTTCAAAGGAGGAGACACCTGTCCAAATCATTCGTTTAACATTGAGTTACTGAAAACCGACTGAAACCTTGAAGATCTTGGTAGAGTGCAATGTGGAAATACAAAGTTACATCACTCATCATACTATATTTATCTGCTGGTAATTTAAACAGTATGAATATTTCAGATATGTAATACATATATAAACATATTAATGCTGTGTTTTCTCTCATTAGATCCAGTCTTTGGGAATTCTGTTGAACAGCCTGCATCAGACACTGGAAGAGAAAAAGTACAAAAGACGCTCACGTGTAGCCACAAGTTCTCCAATGTTTGTTGTTTGTGGTACAGAAAATATCCTTCCTCTGCTATACAATTTCTTGTTGGAACTTGTGGAAACAACGAGATAAATGGGAGATTTAGTGCATATATCAGTTCCTCCAGTAGCACATTAACCATTTCCAGTCTGGAGCTGAATGATGCAGGTGTTTATTACTGTGCACTTGATAGAAAGCACTCTGATAATATCCCCTGAACAGCCCTACATAATCTTTCCCAAACATCAGGCAGTGACGTGAGATTCACAGTCACCCAGCATTGTATTATTTCTTTTTTGTAATTAGACAAGCTTTAATTTTACAAAGGCTTAAAGGTGACATAATGTGTGTGTGTGGACCACATGACAAAACAATAAATGTTTAAGTATTACATATGTTATACTCCTAAAAATGTGAATTCAGATTTTAAACACTTTTTTTGATGTTACTTAGGGTTATTCGCTAAAGTCTGAATGCCTTTGTATACAACTGGATATTTTTGTTACATTCAGAATACAAAACCTGGATATTGTTCACAATAATTTTTATTGTAAATCACATTTTATTTAAAATTTTCAATGTCTCCATAAGTCAATTCCCAACATTCACACATTACTGATACATAAAAATGTATATCAGACATGTGTTGGAGGTGCGCTCGCTTAGTCGCCTCACCAAGCCACATATGGTGGCTATGCCCCAATATCGCGATTAATTGGACCAGGATCGAATTATATATCCACCTTATAATGGGGATACATGTACCCAGAAAGCCAGAAACCTTCCTATTCCTCCTTTACCCCTCCCCACTCACTAAACCACTAAGGGTCCTGCTAACCCTCTAATTTACTCATCCCAATCAACTGGAAACAACACACAGCTCCATCTATTAGAGACTGCATTAAAAAAGTCGAATCCATACGCATAATGGAAGTACTCACATATTCTTTCACCCACACATACCACCACTGTCTGGTTTGGAGATAAAGTCTTGATATGATAAAGGCAGGGAAATGTACTTTAAAAGAAAAAAGATTACTTGCCGTTTAGGGCAGAATTGGTTCCGTATAAGTGCACCAAAGTCACTTGCTCACTCTGTTCTAGAATACAGTGTTTTACCAATGTTAATCCATACCTGATTTGGAGGTATTCTGTTATTGGATATTGAGACAACACTGGTAGATTTTCCACTTGCTATTATTTGTTATTCACAACTTCTTGACTTAATTCCAGCATACCAGTTTATCTTTCTCAAGAGATGACAATTACTGCACCTTTTCAACATAGAATCTGTTGCTATCATATAATTGATTTTATTTTTTTATCAATGTATGAAGAGTTTCTTTTAGTTTAAACTTTTTGTTTAAAAGAGATACATCTTATTAGAATTTTTATTTATTTATTTTAGGCATGCAGGGTAAGTACAAGCTTTCGTAATGACAAGAGGTATGATAATAATGTTTAAACAGATAAAGTCAAGATGTGCTGCACTTTTTTTTTTTTAAAGAAAACAAGCTTATTCACAGTAAGCCAATAGAGATCCATCTTATTAATCTCTACAAACATTTGTCATATCTAGTTAGTGACTCCTGTCATGCTCCAAACCATCTCTTCTCCCAGCCCTATGACTCTCATGTTGCTGATCTGTTGCTTCTTGTGGTGCTAAAATGTTATTCCAAAATAAACTCTATCCTCAGTCTATTCTATAAACAGTCTTCTGTCACAATCATAATCCTTTCAAGTGTTTTATATACAAATATTGTTAATAAACCAAATTTTGTAACACATTTTGGCACATAAAATTAAGGCATAAAAAATGGATAACTGAAAACAAATTCACCAATACCTTACAATCATATTAGTGTCTCTATGGGCAATAGTTTGGTGGAAGATTCAGTCACCAACACCACTTCCATGTTGGATGAACTTTGGGATCCCTGTTCATTTTATACTAGATTAAATTATAATCCAATGCTGGGTTGTTGTAGTTATTTAGGGAGCTTACATAACTTCTGTTTTTGCCAACACGTAAATATGCATACATTTGGGACAAAGTAAAGTTGAAGGAACCAGAGTGTAGAACAGTCTGAAATCATGAACATTATTATCAAAAAAATTAGACAAAATGAAACACTAACATCCTATGTGTATCAATACCTATGTTTTCAAGACACATTTCCTACAGGTTGCAGATTCATTGCAAAAACTTTTCATTCCATCATTGGTTTGCATTCTCACAACAACAATTTGAAAATAGAGACACTAGATTACAAGGCAGAGACAAAGAGAATTTAATCCAAAATACTTTCTGCATCTCATAAAGAAGGACAATTGAGAGTACTCTCTTCTGTTACATTGATTACATTGCCCCCACCTCATGCAAAACATATTCAGCCTCTCTTTTTGTTACATAGAACACCCCTTTTAACCACACAATTAAATACACTGCTGCTTCCTTCCTTCAACAAGTTATTCCTCCTCCTACTGAAATAGACAGTGTAAATCAGTGGTAGTCAACCTTTTTCCACTTACCGCTCACTAATGCATCTTTCTTGATGGAAAAATTTCCTTACTGCCCACCAGTTTTCGCGCAAGTGCAGAATATTTTTTAGAAAGGAGGGTGTTTTAAAAAAAAAAAAAATAATGTACGTACATTTATCTTTTTATTTCTACTTAATGCATGTTTATAATGTTTTTAACTTTATAAAGTTTAATGAGAAAACAATAAAGTAAATTGAAATTACCTTTACTAGTGATTAATAAGATCTTTGAGGTTGATGCTGCGAGACTAAATATTTGATATCTGGTTCGATTTTCGTAAGGAACAAACGAAGGTCTCTTCTTTCGGTGATATTCAGAAGACTTCTCTGTTTGCTCATAAAATGATTTCTCATCTATGTTTCAGCTCCCCTCCTCTCCCTCCTCAGTTCCTCTCCCCACCTTTTTTTTCTTCCTTTTTTCTATTTTTTAACCTTCCTTATAGCAATGCCCAATAGGAAGGCTGAGCTAGGTAGCCCACTTACTATTGTTAGTCAATAACAATTCTCTCCTTTTCCCTTTCTTTCTCCATTTTTACAAGTACTCTACTCCTTCTTTCTCCTATTCTACAAGTACTCGACACCTTCTTTCTCTTTTTTACAAATACTCTGCTCCTTCTTTCTTCTATTCTACAAGTACTCTGCTCACAGACAAACACACACACACTCACAAACACTCACACATACACTTACAGACACACACACACTCACATTGAAACACATACACACAAACATACACAGACACACACATACACAGACAGACACACATACACATACACAGACAGACACACATACACTAACAGACACATACTTACAGACACACACATATACTTACAGACACACACACATATACTTACTGACACACACATATACTTACAGACACACACACTCACACATATACTTACAGACACACACACACACACACACACACATAAACTTACAGACACACACATATACACACAAATTATTAATATTAAATGTCCACCCAGCCTCCCTACCTGGAGAGCTGGAGTGGATCTGTCCATAGGGTCCAGTGGGGCTTCACTTCGGCGGGCGGCTGTGTGCTAATCAGACGCAGCAAGGGAACTCTAACCTCTCTGCTCTGCTCCCTCGCGGGCTGTCTACTGATGCCGGGAGTCGGAATATGACGTCATATTCCGGCTCCCGCGGCACCAGCAAACATCGCGCGAGGGAGCAGAGCAGAGAGGTTAGAGCTCCCTCGCCGTGTCTGATTAGAACTCTGTTATGCCGGGGGTCCAGAAGGTGGCCTGGCAGGAGGGAGCACTTCCTCCTGCCGGTCACTGAAAACTTGCGCCCGCAGAGCCGCTCGCGCCCGCCCAAAAGAAGAAATCCCCTTAAAAAGAGGTTTTAGCCGCCGAAATCCCTACCACCCACCTGGAATCCTGAAAAGCCTACTAGTGGGCGGTAGGGACCAGGTTGACGACCCATGGTGTAAATAATGTTTGTGTACAGCTCAGTATCTTTATTTTACTGTTCCAAAGTAAGAGGCACCTGTCCGAAGACTCATTAATTTCATTCACCAGTCTCACTTAAAGATACTGAAAAGTGGGTGTAAGCTTGAAAATCTTGACAGGGTACAATATGGAACTTCAAAGTCACATCACTCATCATACTCTATTTATCTGCTGGTACGTATAACAGTATGAATAAGACATGTCAGTAGATATATTAATCCTATATTTCTTCTCATTAGATCCAGCCTGTGGGGATTCTGTTGAGCAGCCACCTTCAGATACTGGAAGAGTTAGAGTAGACAAGAGTCTCACATGTACCTATAAATCCTCCAATACTGATAACTGTTGTTTGTGGTACAGAAAATATCCTTTCTCTGCTATGCAATTTCTCATTATTACGTGTGAGGACAATCAAGAAAGTGGAAGATTCAGTGCAAATTCAGATTCGTCCAGTAGCACATTAACCATTTCCAGCCTAGAACGGAATGATGTAGCTGTTTATTATTGTGCAGTTGCTAGTGAGCACTCTGATAACATTCACTGCACAGCTCTACAGAATTATTTCAGGTAGAGCAGAAAGTGAGGTGCAATTTAAAGTATCCTGTTTCCAGCTAGGAAAATGCTTGTGTAACATCAGCAATTCCCATTGGAGGCCAGTTTTTCACTCATTTCTGTTTTTTATTATAAAGTCTCAACTGGATCAAAACAGGGAGCTTTCTTTAAAAGAAGAAATCTTTGACTTTAATACTACTTCACTCAAGGATTGTTGCCTACACAGGCGAAGATGCATTTTACCCCCCCCATGCCTACCCTTTTAGTACCCGCTAGCCTGATGTCTCCTCCCCAGCCCATGTCTGTCTATTTATACTATTCCCCAGCTTCTGGGGAAGGTTTTTTTTGCCCTTTTCCTAAATTCTCTGTGTCTCTTTCTCCCCTTCCCAGTCCCTCTGCGTGTCTCTTTCCCACAGAGCCTGGTCTCTTTCTCCCCCAGCCTCTCTATGTCACTTTGTGAGTCCCCTAGCACCTCCATGTGTCTCACCGCCCCAGACCATTCAATGTGCCTCATTTCCCCAAGCCCCTCCATTCCATGTGTCTCACTTTCTCCTCCAGGCACACCTTGTGTCTCATTTCCTACCCCATGCCTCCCATGCCTCATTCACCCTAACCCCTTATGTCTCATTCCCCC